TCCGTCTAGTTTCATGAGTCATTGACTCACAGTTCTTTGGGATTTACCACCTGACATTATTTTAGATCGAGGCAGTGCGGATTTTTCACAAATTCATGTCATCTATTTATAATTTGAGCTTGCCTGCGCTGTGTCCGATTTGACTGTAATTGGGAAGCCTGCAGCAGGATGAATGGGAAATTGCCCGCGAATTTCGAGAGTCGAAAGAAATGGGTCGCGTGATTACCCATAGCGAACTGTGGGCCCGTTTCTTTGCCTCAAAATGACTATATTTTGGATTCGAAAGTTAGAAAATAGTAATAATAATAGAAGCCTAAAGTACCTTTTTAGCTTCTGCAGTCAATGACATATGCGGTAAAGGGCGTTCAGTGTACGTGCTGTGTGAGTAAAGAGAGTGGGACTTGTAAAAATTTTTTGTTGATGGCTGTTGTTGGTAACTGTTAGAACTCGGCTTGGCTTGACCGCGCTCGTTTATAGGCTTGGATGAGAACTGCGAAATCGTAATTGTGCACAAGCTTTAGATTTTTTGTTTCATTGAGGTTTTGAAGTGAGAAAATAGCTGTGAGGGTATTGTGTAAGTCCCACGGTTGCGTTTGCATTCTCAGTCCAAAATTTTACAGTCCAATACGCTATCACAATTGCATATGAATCTGTCAGTGCTCAAAGAAATCAGAAACAGAAGGAGCACGAGTGCGCCGGCTTCCTCTTATTTCAGATCTGTTCCGAAGCATATCCTGACTTTAAAAGTTCTTTAGCTGTTGCACGATCATCATCGTTCGTGCTTCACTCGCTCCATTCTGGCATTGTTGCCAGTTTCAGTTCCATCATTTATAAGGTTATGGTGCTGAGCAGTAAATTGGTTGTTGAGCAAGGATTGGCAAGCACAAGCCTACCAGCTTTCGTTCAGAATCTCACTTCTTGCTTAGCATAAACTCAATTCACAATCGGTTTCCTGTCTCCAATTCCTCTTCTCAAGCAAGATCTCTGCTCCTTTCCTGTTTCCTCCTTGTTGCGATCCCTTGCGACCTAAATCAGCATCCTCGGCGTTCCCCTCTCTTGCTGTCTTCCATTCTGTTGGTGTTGAAATTTTAATTCTAATCCGCCTATACCCGACGGACCATTTCACTAGAAACGCAAGTCTCACTCTAATCCACATGAACCGAACCAACTTTTAGTAGCGACTGTTTTCTAACTCGCAGTTGCGCTTTGTCGAGGGAAAAGGTGATGAGGTCATACATAGTATAAACGTACTTTTACAGGCTACGAAAATTGTGCATTTTTTGGACTGCCTTTTTTTCAAATTTGAAAAGTTAGTAGTGGGATATCGTTGTGTAAATTCAAGCTGCTGATGTAAACTGGAATTGGACTGGGAATTTTTGTTTGTCCAGCAGTTTTGGAAGATGAATTAGTGTAGGGTAGAAAAGAGGGCTTTTTACAAAACTTATTACAAAATCTGAAATTCATAGGATCTTGCTATCCTTTTGGTTGTTGTGTATTTAGCACACTGCTCTGGTGTGTTCAGGGGGTGCAACAGTTTGCGTGAAGCGTGAAGGCGCCGATCCACATGTGAAGAATTGTTCGATATGCGGCTCGGACAAC